TGCCTCTTGATGGCAGTTCTGCTGATTATACACAGCGATAAATAATTGGAATAAAATCAGTAGGTCCTTTGGTAATTAAGGCATTATGACTCCTCCTTTTAGAAATTTACTTTCTAAAGAAATATTAAAAAATGATAAGTAATTATAGATATTTTCTTACTGTTACAAATTATAAATTGCTATAAAAAATAACAAAGTTTAAATGTTCTTTTGACTTCGATACTTTTTATGACTATTTCCATAGCTAAATCATAATTTTAAGATAAATACGCATTTTATTCATTTGTTTTAATTTCGATTTACTAATTGTTTTGTAAGAATTTGATGTCTGACATTATAGTTCATTTTTCCTACTGCATAAACTCTCAAAGAAATGCAACAACTTGAACTTAATTTGTGTAGCTGCTGGTGGAAACCCTCTCAAGCTTTCTCGAGAGCACTATCTCCATTGTAAATTCCGTCTTTCACACCTGTTACACGCAATTATCTTAACCACGGTCCACGAAGAAACTTCGAGCGAACTGCACTTTGGCCCTAGCTCCTTTCCCGATGGGGGTTTCATTTCCGACCAAGGGAGGGAAATGAGTTTCGGATTAGAGCACGACCAGACCATCACCCATCCCCAGCAATCGGCCAGTCAAAGCGCAGTGTAAGTAGCTTGGGCTAAGTGCCACCAGCAGCAGCATCACCATCGCCACCCGGGGGCAATGCCACCAACACCAGTTGCACACTGAAAAAAAATTAGCTAACTGAAACGAATGTATTAAGTGAAAATATAAAATAAATATATTTTATATGATGTTTAAAGTATTATAATAATATTTTGATTTTATTACATATTTTTAATTCCATTTTCTGTAAAAAAAAAAAAACAACATTTATGTAGCAGGGCTACTTCTACAGGACTTAAAATTTCTTTATCATTTTAAAATTTAAATAATAAATATTATTTTAACATATTTTCTCAACGTGTAGCATTACCCGTTGAGTGGAGCACGCACTGATTGCCAGTGAAATGCATGTGAAATTAACCTCGTGCGCTGCTCGGTTTAATTTGCACTCGATGGCTGGCAGTGGAAAGCGGAAAAAACTTGTGCATTGGCGCTGCATGCCAATGGAGGCGACACGCCGGCGTCCCAAATGTAATTTTCCCTTTGCTCATTTGCTGCCTGACTGGCTGATGGCTGATGGCGGGCTCCAAAGACTTGGCCAAGGCTCCGATCCCTCCCTATCCTTTCACCTCTCAGTCACTCACTCACTCGCCCGTTCACCCGCTCACTTGCCCACACGTCAAGTTGCGTAGTCGGAGGACGGAAAGTGTTGAGTAAGTTGTCAAATGGTCTGTGATGGGTGATGGAACAGCGGAAAGGGTCTGACTAATAATTACGGAAGGGAGTGCACTCTATCTGAGATGGGTGTTGGGAATACGCAGCTGCAGCAGAGATGTCAGAAGAGAAGTTGGAGTGCCTTAAACAAAAGGATAAACAATGACACCTTAAATTTGCAAAGAGATTACAGCTTTTGTTATTTTAAATTGTAAGTTAAACCACACAATTTGTATAATGCCCTCAAAAGTAGGCAACAAATGCGGTTGAAACATCAAGAATATGCATCTCACACGGTCAAAGCTTTTAGGTAATTGATTTTACTAAATAAATACCAAAAACTACAGCAAAGCTTTTTAAATTCATTAAAAGTTGACATGGATTTGAAATGGATTTACCAGCACTCAATTACCATTGAGAACGCATCTGCAAACAGCGATAAGCCGCTTAACTGGCAATACTTTTCTCACAATTTATGGCTCGACTGCGTCGCGCACACATAAAAGTGCGGTTCGGTTATAATGAATGCTTAATAAGCATTTGTCGAATACATAAGCAATGTCCATTAAAATTAATTTCATTTGCTATGCAATTTACAATTCATCTTCGTTATAAAACGCAGCCAGGCAGGGAAATTCCGCGGCACTTATCCATCCCCAAACCCCAGTCCAAGCCCCAAAACCAAACCCAGGCCCATCAGCCACAGACACATAAGTACCGACTCTACATAAACTATTCATTTCAGTTCAATAACAAACCTGATGCCGAGGCCCGAAGCAGCCCATATGTGTTCATTCCATTGCGTTATTCGCCGCATTAACGAAATCAACATTTAAATTGCAAATTGTGTGTATTTTGATTGAAAAACGCCTCCGCCGCCGCCGACGATGACGACCCAGTCCACAGATAGAGAAAGCGAAATGCGATATAACAATGACCGATTCTGGTCGGGTTGAGTTTGTTTTATAGTCCTGCCGGTGGGTACACACAGTACTTGAACTCGTTGGCAGCTGCTGTCTTCACACATTCCCGCCCGCATGCAATTTGCTGCTCTTTTGTGCAATAAAAAATAGCGCACAACAACGAAAATTTCATGCGCATTAATGTGCGACATTTGAGATATGCGTGTGGGCCAGGACGAGCTTGATTTTCATTCGAATCGTATTGTTATACCGGGTAAAAGCATGGGGACGAAGGGTATTATAAGTCAAACGGTAGAAAAAGTATTTCCGATCGCGAAAACAAAGGTATATATTCTTGGTAAGCATCCACAGGCGAGTATATTTAACTTTGTTAACAATAAAGATAGGGAATTAATTAGTCTTTAGCATCAAAAGGAACATTAGCTTAGCATCACAGTTATAAAATGTTTAAAAATTCCTCCTGAAGAATTAACTTGGAAATATTTGTAAGAGGTATAACATATTCGAATCCGGACAGCTTTACCCTTTCCTTTTATTTTTTACTCCTTTACCAAAGTGCAATAAAAATGCAAAAGCGAATTCGAATTGATTGAACAGAGCCGTACTGGACACAGGCGTTCTCTTACATACTTACAGCCAGTCACGCACAATGGCCAAGAGAGAGAAGCAAAAAAACAAGGGGGAAAAACGGGAAAATTATTCATTAACACATGCGTAAAATGCAAAGGGAACATTGCCATAAATAAATAATTGATAAATTGCAGATGAATTTTCATATTTAATGATGTTTAAGTGAGTGAAGCAGGAAGCGAGGAGCGAGCCGTGTAGGCCCTGCAAATGCCAGTTTTGTTCGCATCTGGGTGTGCAATAATATTATGTTAAAATATACGATTACAATTCGGTTTCCTTTGCCTTTTTTTATGACTCGAGAGTGGTGTGTGTCCCCGGCAAGGCAGCGATGTCGCACAAGAGTGCGTATGAAAATTGATTGTTGCTTTATTTATGGCCTCGCACTCGCAAAGTAGACATAAAAAATTAAGACAAACATAAAATGCAATCATGCAGCTCGGTCTGGATAAAAATCTACTGGCTATAGGCAGTCTCCCAGTCCCCCTTTGCGTTTTGTCCATTCGCCTGATTTGGTTTTACGTGCGTTGGGAAACGTCGAAGGACCTGCTCAGTGATGCCAAATGGTTTCGAAGAAATAAAATTAAAGTGGCAAGAAATACATCAAGGGAATACGAGAAATAGCAATAAAGTTGATTTTAGTTTTCCAGCCGGAAAACGTATTTATTTATCTTGAAATTTAACTTATAACCATCAATGATTAAGTAGAAATAGGTTATAGAATTTTTTAATATATCTAAAATAAAATAAATATAAAAGTAGCCAAAAAAGGCGACCAACACTAAGTCTGTTCTCAAAAAGCCACATTGAGGTCGCAACATGCCTCTGTGGGTCGTGTAATAAAACGCATAAAACTTTGCCTCTAACGAGCATCGTTTTTACGATCCTACTGCCCCGACATTGAACAGGAAAAAGTCTGGAGATAGAGTGGAATCCGGTTCCCTTTGGTGACTCCCCAGTTTCTCATATGCAAACAAAATGGACGCTTAATGATTTGTTATATGTTTTTGGGTTTTATATGCCTGCCTTGAGTCTAAAGAGTTGACTATTAGGAGAATACTTTAACTTAAAGCCACGAAATTGATAAGGGTCACTTGAACAATCGATCATTTTCGTATTAATTAAAGCTGGCACACATAATTACATCAATGATAACCATAATTTATGGATTTGATTAAGCCTGTTAAACACATAATGCTCAATACAAGGAGAGTTAATAAATGTTTTTACTATTTTACAATTATTATTTCCTCTAAAAAATCAGCCATTTGACTAATCTAAAAAGAAATTGCCAAGTAAAACAAGTCTTCAACCGTTCTTTATTATTTTTTAACAATGTGTTCATGCAATCCTGCCAGAGTACAGGGGGTTAATTAAGTTTTGAATTTGGCCAGAAACAAAGGAGCTCTATTGTTCCACTCAACTGAAATAATCTGCAAGCATCTGCAGTCACTTTGGCTCCTGGCAAATGCCTCGAATGACCCAACCGGCCCTGCAAAATATGTAATTAAACTTAATGAGTGTAAAATGCTTGTGTCCTGGCCTCGTCTCAGCCTCAGTCTCTGTCTCAGCCTCAGTCTCAGCTGCAGCCTCGTCTCGAATCAAATGCTGTCAAGCACATCAACTCATTCATTTGTCAATTAGTTGACAATGGGCCAACTTGAGCTTAACCAAAAACCAGATCCCACCGCTGCAACGAATGCTGAACGTAATTGCATTTGAGATTTTGCAAAGTCCAGTCAAGAATTAACTTGGCCTCAGTGGTGCTTCAAGCCGAGTCACATTTTGCAATTTCATATCGCTGATGAAATGCATTTCATTAATATTTATTTACCAGAGGTCTCCTCTAATCCAGGACATGCAGGCGGGCTTAGCAGCCAGATTTCAGATTCGTTGCCAGAGGCCACTTTTTGTGGAAAAGCAAAACTTGAATGTCACAAAAACCAAATGCAGAGTGGAAAATCACTGGATAATCGGGGATTTGTTTGCGAGAACTAGAATTCTTAAACTGTTTAAAAATTAATGATTCAAATAAATGGAAATACAAATAAATATAATTGAATATGTAAATAAATAATATAACCTGTGAAACACATTTACTTTTAAAAAATATAAGAGTCACACTCTAGTATTCTTACATTTTTATATCAAAAACAAATTTATATATATACCATCTCCTTGTTTAGAAAAACTCAGCTTAAATTATAATCGATTGTAAAATAATGGGCACTCAATCAGTTATAAGTCGAGAGATGGTGCATATCCTGCCGTGTGAAAGGGACGATCGTATCACTTGCCCCGATGTAATAGATGATTCTTTGCCATTCCAAAAAAATACCGAGAAGACGGAGCCAGAGACTGAAGGCGGCGAGTCTGTAATAGAAGAAGAGGAGCCTGACTCTGAGGAACTGGTTAATCCTGATGCAAAGTACGCCTGGAATGCACCTTGCCTGATGGTTATTTTCGAGGAAAGCGACCTCAGTTCTGCTCTCCATTATCTCATCGAATCGCTGCAGGATCCTTTTGCCCTGGATGCGGTGGCAGTTCTTCTGGTTCAGGAGAGTCTCTTACAAGAACTTGTGGGTCGAGTGGTGAGCCTAATGAAGCCCCTTGACTCCAGGGTGGCCAATCATCCCTGCTACAAACGCACCCTGAAGAAGCTGGCAGAACTGAAGCCAGAGGTGATTGTGGGACCTGCTGAGAGTGTCTTTCCCGATGCCACACCCATGCTGGTGCGGGACATTCCCCACCGATATCTGGGCGAGGGACCCACTGGTATAATCACCATGCACGTCTTTCGCACACCCTACGATGCCACACGGGTATATCGGAAGGAGCATCCGCTGCCCATAGCATCGGTGAGCATCTGGAGCGAGAAGATTTCAAGTCTCTACGATGTGATGGGCCTGATGGATATTGTTACCTTTCAAATCAACTGCTTCAATGTGAACATGGAGCCCATCAAGAAGGACTTTGAGCAACAAAGAAATTGTGTGCAGATGCATAAGGGCTATCACTACGAAACGCTGCAGATTAATTACAATCGAAAGATTGTTGTCTATCCGGTGGGAACTATCTATGGCAACTGAAGCTATTTTTGTGATTAAATAAATTAATTAATTATCTATTCTTTCTTTTCTATAACACTTAATGCTAGGACCCACCTTTTTAGAACCAAGAGAAAGTCTTTCCTCTTGAAATATTCGCGGTACAAGATGAAATCCTTTATTCTACGAAGTCCTAAAGGCAACAGCTTTTTGGTTTTTTTTCGTAATTCCCTAAATTAATGGTTACCTTAACTATTTAGTGGTTCCTGCATATCTTAAACATTCAATCTGATTCAATCGGCAGCGGCTTTCAACAACTATTTACACACCCATTTGAGAACATTCAACTCGCACTTTTCACGCGCTAATCTAAATTAATGCCTCTCACTGTGAATCGGAACAGAGGCCGTATCATTCAATTAAAAAAAAAAAGAAAAGCAATAGAAACGCGTGCATGTAAAATGTGCGAAATAACCAGGGGATTTTTGCGCATTTCTCCCCTTTTGTAAATTGTGGAGTAGAACGCAGGGACGAAGCAATTTGCACCACCCTCCGGACGGAGTAATGAAGTGTTTAGTTGATTATCTAAACGCACACGGCTCCGTATCCGGATCCGGACCCGGGACCCATCATGTGGACCCACCACTAGCATTGCAAACAGAGGCCTGGAATTGCTTGGGTTTTTCGGTAGCGGTTGAGTCTATAATGCGCCAAATAAACGGCTAACAAGTTGGTAATAAAAGAACTCTTAAATTGCCTGAAGTCCGACCGATACCACGGAATTGTAAGCTGCACTAGAGAAAACGGGAACTTTTGAATTCAATTTTTAGAAAGTGAAGTTATAAATATTATATTTATGAAGAATTTTGGGCTTGTGGTTCATAGGCAGGACAACAATTAACGAAAATGTAATGTAAAACGATTTTAGCCAGGTCAAGGAATGCCTTAGACGAGAGCCACCTCTTTTATGTCCTGGGGCTTTTTTTATATTTGTTTTTTGTATATAGATTAAAACTTAGTTTTCTGAGTGCACTTTTGGCACTCATTCACCTACACGCAACTGCAGGCAATGGCAGGTAACACAGGTCTGAAAGTTGCGAACAAAAGCACAGCTACTACCCCTGTCTATTGGTACTATATATAGGCCCGATGAATGCCGGAGGGGCGTGGCACGCATTGTCTGCAGGTAAGCCTTTTTGCGGTGGTGCCCACTTTTTGGCGCTGAACAACAACGCAACGGATTTGCATTGATAACCGAAAATGTTTGGACTTGAAACGAGTTACGTTTGGCCTGCTTTCGTGTACAACGACCATATTTCACCAGTAAATCAAACAGACAACGGGTCTGAACACCTGCGGTCAATATAGTAGACTTTATGGTATACCCTTGGGGGATTTGTATATTAAACAATACAATTAACTGAATGCTATTGTCTTACTTTTGAATTTTGAATATTTCTATAATTTTGTAGGAAAACTTTCCATACAATTCTTAATTATTTGAACTTGAAAGATAGTTTGAAAATCTATATATATGGCTTTTTTTTAGAGGTTGTCTAAAAAAAGTCCTAATATCCTTACCAAAACTGTATCCTGGCCAAAGGAGGCGTATGCGTACAGCCTTTGGAGCTCGGCTTGCCACGATGTTTACTGGATGTCTTAATTAAATTTGATTAGCTGTGTGCGCAAATTAGTTAGTTTTGCATGGGGAACTGATGAGCGTGATGAGTTTGCCGACTAATTGGCTAATTGATTGATTGTTGGAGCTGTTGCAGTGCCTCTTTCACGAAACAGGCCGCAGCAGAATGTTTGCCTAATTGCGCTTCAAATGCACTCGCAATCGGTCGGCCTGAAGTTGGTATTCTTTGTGTGCATATTTACTAATGAAAATCGAATGATAAGCCGTTTGGTTGCGACGACTCTGGCCTGCAGTCCATCAAAAATGTATTATCCCAGTCCATGCACTTTTGCTGCTACTACTTCTGTTTGTTTGTTTGCTTTACTAGTTCGCTTTTTTTATTGCTGTTTTTTCTTAAATATTTTCCGTAACGCAGATTCCTTTGCTCGGGCAGCGCCTGCATAATACATATCGAAATAACCTTGGTCCGAAATTCGCCAAAAGAATAACTGCGAATTGTTTGCAAAGAACAACTTTGCTTTCTGCCTTGGCTCCTTGGCATGGTTAGTTGTTGGTTGTCAGAGTTTCCCGGGGGATGGATGGATGAAGGGGTCCCGGGATGCCGAGCTGCTGGGATGCAGAGCTGCCGGCTCCCTCAGTTCGAGTGCTAAAGTTTCCACTGCGAGCAGAAAATTTCCACTTTAGTTGCTGTTGTGCAGTAAATTTTTGTTCTAGCTTTTTGTTTCTTCATTTTTTTCGCCTGCATTTTCAGCCCCACATCCCCACCCATCGCATATTCTCGAGATTTCCCTGACTTCCGCCCCGTTCTCCCCCTCTACGCGTGCTTATTTCAAGTAGTTGAAATTATTTTATAGTATAAAACTTTAGTTTTTTAACTTTGCCCGGTCGGTGCGCAAGTTGTGTTGTTCTGTTTCTGTTGTGTTTTGCCGGGCGAAAGCCCTTCGTCCATTTGGCGTCCGCACGCGCTTTTTGTTTTAGCATATTTATATTTTAATAAGCGTTCTGGCAGCTGCGCTCCAGCGCCTGCCGCTCTGCGATACTCTCGATGCCCTGCGTAATTTTCCTGCAATTTCTGACAGTTTTAGAAATCTTCGCGAGCAGGACTTATGAACCCAAATGCGGCTGTCAGTGCCAAGTGGCAAGGCGGGCTGGCAGGCGGGCAACGTGGCGTATGATTGTTATTAATTTCATATTATGTGTAAGCACCACGGTCTGCTGCTGCCGCTGATGCTACTATCCTTTGTTGCAATAAGCAATAAGCGTCAGCCGGAATGATATTTAATGTCGGGAGGCTGAAATGAGAACGAGCCAGCGGAAGGATGGAAGGAAGGATCGGGACGATGATGACTTCGAGGTGCAGTTCAAGTGGCTCCTTGAAGCACGAAAGTGTTGAGATTGCCAGAAGTGTTTGAGCATCCCATTTGCATAAAGTGCGGTTAATCTCGGGAATGTCGAACGGGGGAAGTGCTAAAATTAATAATGCACGGGAAAAATAAACGAAAAGAAATGGTGGTAGAGTCAACAAGAGTAGAAAATGATTAAGCGAAGGCTGAAATGGTACTTGTTTTAGGAATAAATATTTATGTTTATGCTAAGGATTGATAGAACATATCAATAATAAGAAATAATTCAAAAATAAAGATCCTATAGTATTAAAAAGAATATAAAAAAAACACTCTTAACCATTCCTAAATTATTAAATAATTTGTTAGAAAAATTTACAATTAATAATAATCACAGTCAACCCAAAGAGGTAAATATTATTATCCTTGGCACTTCTTTCAGTGCAAAACTCCTCTTGATTAAATTAAAATTCAATTAAGGCTGCTGTTTATTTGGGCATTGTGAGCGTTTAATAGGAAAATCCATCACAAACATGCATCAATGGAGCATTGTTGTCGGTTCCAGCCGCAATTGTTAACCATTTTCACTTCAATACAATGTGACATGGTCCCCTCCATCCCGGTATCTGTCGTATCTGTCGTTTGTTTATGACGTGGCAAGTTAGTGTGCATGTGTGGGTCTGTGATGGCATTGTATTTGTAACAAAATATAATCATAAACGTAATTTAATCGCGCCAAAACGCGTCTGTCACGTACTTGCCAGCAACAGATACAGATACGCATTATTGACACCCGCAGCACACACACACCAGCAGCGGCAACAACAATGTTGACAACAGAAACTGTTATAATAATTCAATTCAATTCGGCCAGAGCCAGAGCCAGAGCCAGCCATTCCATAATAATGTCGGTTCAATGTAGTAAATACGTTGCGAAGCGTTTGCGACTTGCCAAATCTAATGATCACCTGTTTGGCAGGGTGTGTTGGGGGCACCCATCCTCCTCTGCCTCTGTGCTGGCGGGAAAGAATTGATTTTGCTATCGAAGCACGTCATGGCGGTATATGAATGTGTAGTTGTAAGCTCACAAAACTATTTTCTATTGAATTAAATTGTTATCATTACAAATGGCAGGCCAAATGAGATTTGTATTTCGAATGTTGCAATATTTAGTAAGCGTTGGGTAAAATGATTGTTCAAACAATGTAATTAGCTAATAGTAAGGAAATTATGAAAGCTTAGATGCTTAGCTTGTTAAGTGCTGAAGGATGTTCTTGATTTAACAATTATGTAAAAAAAACTGGCATAAAATAAAGAGATATATTGTCAAAAACCTGGCGTTACTTGAGGCAGTTTCCATTTCCTGAACACTAAATTAAATTTTAAATTCCTTTTGTCTTAAGGATATTCCCTGCAATTATTTCCACCTCTCTCCCCCTTTTATCCTTTAACCTTTCAGGCTCTAATCAATTGCGAGTTGTTTTCATCGGCTTCATTTACTTTATTCTTGCAACCTTAGCCCATCTTGGGGTCTGTTAAGATTTTGTCATATGTGCCATCATCCGACCTTTGTCGTGAGATTCCTCCGGAGCAGCCAGTGAATCAGTCACGTGTGTGTGCAAAATCAAAACGATTTGCGGTGGCTGTCATCTCGCCGTGCAGTGCTTGGGTCTTAGGTCTTTTGTTTGCCATTTGCCGGATCGCGGAACGAGCGTGAATGCGCGTAAATTACGGCTGACAAGAGACGGCTTCCTCTGATGATGGGGATGCGGATGAGGACCAGGTTGAGGCAGCCTTAGGTTGATTGATGCACTACACACAAAGAAAATATGGTTTTTATATTTAATAAAGAGAAATAACTTTAAGATTAGTTCAAGAGTCGTAAAAGGTACTTACTTCTCTATATAATATCCTTTTTATAATAATCTGGGGATACTCTTCTGAAGATATCACAATTTGTTTTCTGTGCATCTAGTGCCCTGCAACCTTTTGCCACTTAGCTGTAAGCCATGGATTCCCAGCTCCAGAAATCGGAGCAATTCCAGGGCACGCATGACAGCTGCCATGTGCGCTGGCATCCCAGCATCCTACTATCCCAGTGTTCTAGTATCCTAGGATCCAGGCATTCTGGCATCTTCACAGCCTCGCAGTAAACCGCAGCAGTGCAGGGCCAACGCTCTACGCGCTTTGTCCTTGTCACCTTTTTAGTTTTCGGAGTGTTGACAGCCGAGCACTCTGTCGACATCTAGTAAGAGTTGCACACTGAGCGAAATATGAAGAGCCATAAGTCTAAACCCAACAGCAGGACTTTCACATCGCAATCCATACTCATAGAATGAATTTTTGATTAAGAATATGGCTTAGAAGCCTTGAATCTTCAAAGTAATAAATACTTAATGAGGTTGCTTTATTTTCTAACGTGCAACATCAGCTCTTAGCTTCAGCTTCAGCTACAGCGAGTGCATTTATCTCGATCTGGAATGCCTTTTGAATAACTTGCCATATTAGCGCGCTTCCGTTTCCTTTCAGCTCAGCGCCCAGCTTAGTTGTGTCTGGGCGTCCTTGTGTGCGTATTTGTCAAAAGGATTTGGCAGTGATTTAGCTGCTGGCCCAAATTTCATACCAAATTCCGTCTCTCTTCCTGACTGACGTCGTGTCCCTGACTCGCCACCTTGCCTCTCCTTTCCGGGAGAGAGACAGGATTAGGTCGCGCCCAGCCCTTTTAGCCGCTGCAAATTAGCTGCCTAATTGTTTGCCAAAGCCGCAACTTTGGCCATTTCTTCTTCTATTCTCTCGGCCAGGATTTAGTAGATGAGGGGGAGAGGGGTGCGCGATGTAGAGACAGAGAATTGCGTTTACCATTTGCCGAATGACAGCTGAATAATGTGCGCCCCATAAGCAATTAACGCGCCTGCGGGGCTTACACACGTACTACTCTCGAGTGTGATTACTGTAGAGGGCAAAATTGTAATACCTTCTATAGACTTCACTTGGCTTTTAGATGGGAAATAACTTAATGAATAAACAAGGTGTGATTTAGGGAAATAGGAAGTTTAAGTAAGAGGTTTCAGTGGAATTGTGTTTATCGTATAATATCAAAGCACGCTTATAATAATATAATAATATTTAATTTTCTGTTTAACGTGTTTTTTAAAATGCTATTATTCTGACCGCAGCTGTACGTATGTGTCAGTGCCTAGGTATTTGTTTGTGTGTTCCTCAGCCAGCTTACAAATTGAGTCAATAATTTTGCTTGGCCTTTGGATGGGCGGGAAGCTATCCTCCTGCTTTTGCTCCCGCTCCTTCTCACTCTGCTATTGCTCCTCCTGCTCCTTTACTGGTGGCACTTTGTGCATAATAAATAAACGCCATGAAATACGCGACTTAACACGCAATGTACGGCAAAGTCGCATGTCTCCATCTCCCACCAGGGAGAGTGTGTGTGTGTGTGTGTGTGGGTAAGCGCCATATGACACCACCTTGACTCATTAATTACGCACTGGCATTTTTATTTTCATTGCATACTTTTATGCAATTTATTATTACGGCATTGCGGGACAGCGCTGAAATACAAATTGCCTTTTTTTTACACGCACATACTTTTAAGTATATGTGCATACACTTGTGACTTATTTACGGAAAAGCACACACACATACACACGAGCAGGACAAGCCGCAAATGAAATGTGTCCTGGTTTTTTGTGGTCGCCTTCCATCTTGGCTCCTTGGCCGTTGCCTGATTGCCAATGTCCTTTTGGGCATTCCTGTAAATATATTCATATGCAGTGCGTTTCAAAAATATAAATCTCTTTGAGATTTGGGGAGATTTTGGGATATTTCAGAAAAAATATGTTGTTTATTCGTTTGTTTTGTAGGTTAAGAAATTATTATTAAGTATTATATAAGCTTTGTCTCAATACCTTAACATAAATCTTAAATTTCCATTGTAAAGTAACTACTTTGTGGGATTAAATCATATATTTGCAAGTTTTTCAACTTTAATCTTAAGAAAATGAATGCAAAATGTATTAGTTAAATGAAACGCACTGCATTTCTGTAACCACAGAACATTTAATTCCAACATTTCAAAGGTAATTGTGCAACAATAAACTCGAACCTGCCCCCAGAGATATGTATGTATATTCCTTAATCAAAGTGCAGCTAAACTTAATTTTGCCAAAAAAAGGGCAGGACGAAGGAGAGGGCTTTAATCTTAATGCCAGATCGCAGCGCATTTCAGTTTCATTTATACTTGCTGGTGGCAAACCCTCGAATTCCGAATAAATATTCACTTTTTACTTCACTTGTTGTTGTGGTTGCATTATTATTGTCGTAGTTGTTGTTCCGGTGGTGGCGGGGCGGCGATGCTGCGATGCTTCTGTGGTTCTGCTGGTCGAAAATTCCCCAAAGAATCTGACGCACTTATCGCAAATTACTTTGGCAGTTGCAGCGCAGCGCAGCGTTGCTTTTGTGTATAAATTTAACAATTTACCCATACACGTGCAGGCATGTGTACATGGCCAGCGCTGGGGATTGTAAATTACCATACACACACACGCACACGCATTATATGTGTCCAAGGAACGTGCAGTGCAGTGTCCATGGCCAGGACAGGATTTTGTAAAACTTTTGGCCAACATGGCGTATGCATAATATTTCTCCCTGCCGCATGTCGGCCAAACAAACTTCATTAACAAGCCAAGCTGAAGCCCACCAACTTGCCGCAATAACAATGCAAATGTAACAGCTCGAGATGTTGCAGTTGCAGTTGCAGTTACAGTTGCTGCTGCATTCCACCAATTAGCCGGACAACTCATTAAGCTTTCCCGGCGACTTACCGCTCCTTTTTAAAGCACACTTTCTCTGTGGCACTCGTCAATTAGCATTTGTTTCGGGGCGTTTAATGGCCATCCAGATGTTGCTGATGCTGCTGCTGCTGCTGCAATAATTTATTGTTGCCGTTGTTGCCGGCTCCAGCTTCATAAGATGTTAACGCGCACTTAATGCCACTTAAAAATACGCATAAATCGCAGAAAGAGTTCGGCTGAAATCGGGGGACAGACTGCCGGCCACTTGTCCGCTTACATGGCTACTTACAACGCTGCTCAAGCATATGCATGAAGATGACCATGTTTCCACTACCGCCCAACCGCCCAACCACCCAACCACCCAGCCACCCATACTCCACACACAAACGAGGCAACATCAGTAGCAGCTGCATAAAAACAAGGTCGTACAGGGGAGAGCAGAAAATATACACAACAAAAATAAACCAGAAAAAATAAATACAAAAATGAAACAGCTACAAAAAAAGGCTACAGAGCAGCGGCAGAGCTACAGCAACTGCGACTGCGGCACGCAATTAAGTGCATTTAATTAATTATTGTTGATAAAATAATATTTTTGCAATTTATTGTACAAGCGGCAGTTGGGCATTGGTGTCTGTGGTGCGGGTGGATCCACCGCCCAGCCACCACCACCCGTTATTTATGCATATGTGAGCACAAATAAATAACGCCAACGATGGCCGCATTAATACAAAATAAAATCGAAAATGGATTCGACTGAGAGATATCCTTCTTCAGTGAAAATATAAAATAAATAGTTTTAAATAAATTTTAATAAGTTGTTTGACAAATCCATCATAAATAATTTACTTATATTACTAGGTAATCATATACATTTTCCTTATAAAAACCCTTAAATTATAAACACAAATTAAATTATAAACAATATACTCCCCTTAATGGGTATGGGAAATCGTTTTCTGCATTCTTTCCTCCGTTGACGTTATCACAACTCTGGCAGTAACCGGCCGCAGACGCAGCGATATCGCCCCGGTGGCAGCAACATTGCCTATCGCATCGGCAACATCGAAACTATGGCAGATCAATTCGAATAACAATAATTTCTTCCGGTCGAGTGGCAGCGCCAGAACAATCAGACAGCGCCAGAGATGCTGATAGGCGGCTGCAGCCGGCGAATGTGTATCTGCATCTGCAGTTGCGGTTGTTTGCTGCATTTTAAACAGGATGCGCATAAGTATTCGAGGATTGACAGGATGTGCGGGCCATGCACACACGCCTCCTCCTCCGCCCACCACTGGTACGCCTCGATTTTAAATCTGGGGACGAACAACACGTGTTCAGGCACAGGGTCACGCCCCCACACACTAATTTGAATTGTTTTCGCTGTTAATGAATTTCATATATTGTATTTTATATGTATATGTAGTATTTATTCGAACGGCCTTAATGCGAAAATTATTTGCGTTGACATAGCCGTGTATCGACGGGATTTTAAAATGAATGCAAATTCCAGGAAACGTGCTTTAAGTGGTTAGTTAACCAATTATTAAGTTTGATATTAATTTCGGGAAATAATACTTACCGAGAGTTTACTTTCCCCATTCCTCACGCTCCAGGCGCTCTTTGATCACCTCGTTTAGATAGGGTTCCAAGTACTTGACATCTTCCTCGTACTTGGTCCACTCCTCCTTGGGCAGAACCGTTTTGGTCATTGACAAATGCAGAGCTCTCATGATGCGATAGTTGCGCTCGTCGTACAAGTCACGCGGCAGGCGACGCACTGCCTCCTGCACGTCTTCGTTCTCGTTCAGACAATCATCGCGGTACAGTCCGTATTGGTTGAAGCCGGACAAGTTATAGGCCCACTTGCCCAGTTTGGAGAACACCACGGGTCCCTTTCGGGCACAGTACTGCGACATGATTTATGAAACAATTTAAGAATACAGAAAAGTCTTTCGGCTGCTTTGTTAGCTTTGGAATCACAAAATGAATGAATGGAAAATTGAATCTAAAATACCAGGTAAAGAGATTAAGTAAAACTCTCCAACATTAACATTGCAGAGCTACCTCTAAAACCTTTGACCGATTTTAAATATATGGTAATTAAATATTTAACCGCAAAATGTTGCAACTTTTTCTAGCTTAAATAAATTTAAGGATCAGTATGCTCTGTATCACTAGGCCCCATATTTTTCTCTTTAAAAATTCAAAAGAAACACCAGCAAAATATTATATAAAATTTATTCGGAACTTAACCAAAACTTGCATACTTCCATCCTGCACTGGCATAATTTTATAGGTAAGACTTCTCAAACGTAGACTTCTGGCAGACGGCCATTCGACTTGTACGAGTGCTATCCACCTTAGCAAGGTCCGTAGGGACCGCAACTCGGTCCACAAGGTCCGCAAGGACCGCAGCCCGGTCCGAAAGGTCCGCAAGGACCACAGCCCGGTCCAAAAGGCCCGCAAGGCCCGCAAGGACCACAGCCCGGTCCAAAAGGTCCGCAAGGACCACAGCCCGGACCGCAAGGTCCGCAGCCCGGTCCACATGGACCGCAAGGTCCGCAACGTCCTTCCGCGATGGGATACTGGTTGGTGGAGAAGCAGGGCAACGGGCAGCAGGGTCCTCCGGGGGCACATGGCCCAATGGGGCAGGGTGGACAGGCGGCACTGGGCTTGTAGTTGATGGGGCCGTTGGGATAGCAGCAGTACTCCCTGGGTGGCGGGATATCGATGGTCTGGGGCTTCGGTTGACACAGAATGGACTGGCAGACCTCCCGCGGCTCGCAGACGCGCTTGGGATAGCACACCACATAGGGATCGGGGATCATTGAAGGGTAGTAGATAACCCTGGGCTCGCGCACCATTTGAGAGACCCAAATGAGCTTCGGTACCTTGATGACCCGTGTAGCATCCACCACTTTCGGGATGGTGATCTGCCGGCAGCGGTTAACTACCATTGGCTCTGGAACAATCTTTTCCGTAAACACGACCCGCTTCTTGCAGATCATGCGTGGCGGCTGCTGCACGGTAATGCATTTGGGGAAGGGCGGCGGGATGCGCGGAGCACATTGCGGCAGTGCCTCTAACTGGGCGGCATTGTAGCATTTGGGCGAACACTCGAAGGGGCCGCAGCACGGATCGCAGGGGCTGCAGGGACCGCACGGGGAGCACATGATTCCGATTGATAAAGATTGCCAGAAATTATTCTAAAAACAGTAAAATTTGTTTTTTTTTTTGACTTAAAATTTGTTCTGAGAAATTTGGATGTGTATCGAAGCGAAAGCTGAATCGAAATGGGATCTAGAAATAGGCAGAGCTTATGACAAGCCACAAATACAGAGGCAAGGCCTACTAGATCTTTTTCTAGATTTTAGATTTTTATCCTGTTTTTCCAATTTTTCCCTTGGGTAAAATATAGAACTCAGTAGCACAAAATTCGCTTAAATCCGATTTTTATTTACAGCCAATGAGTCGTCAATGCATGTTTACAAAGCTAACTGTACTATAGGACGTTGGATAGTAGTGTATGATGATCATTTGAGCGGGAGTCGGCATAGACAAGTTTCGGTCCACAACGGAGATCCAGATCCACATCCTAACAGGGGCCACACGGACCGCAGGGCACTTGTGGTCCGCACGGTCCGACGGGGCCGCAGTGCGTGTTCCACGGAGTGGGAGCACACGGATAGCAGGGCCCACACTCTGGCGACTCGTACGGACAAGGGGGCGAACAAGGCCCGCACACACCGGCTGGCGAGTTGCTAAGCGGTCCGCAAGGTCCGCCGGGAGAACAGGGTCCGCACGGTGACGGAACAAATGGTCCCGACGGCATTGTGAGGCCGCAGGGCCCACAATTGGGCACGGCGCACGGACCGCAGCCGGGACCACAGCGAGGCCCACAGGGTCCGCAGGCACCTGGGCTGCACCGCCCAGGACCGCAGGGTCCGCAAGGACCACATGGTCCGCATCGACCTTCTGCGATGGGATACTGATTGGCGCCGAAGCAGGGCAACGGGCAGCAGGGTCCTCCGGGGGCACATGGACCAATAGGGCAGGGTGGACAGGCGGCACTGGGCTTGTAGTTGATGGGGCCGTTGGGATAGCAGCAGTACTCCCTGGGTGGCGGGATATCGATGGTCTGGGGCTTCGGTTGACACAGAATGGACTGGCAGACCTCCCGCGGCTCGCAGACGCGCTTAGGATAGCACACCACATAGGGATCGGGGATCATGGATGGGTAGTAGATAACCCTGGGCTCGCGCACCATTTGAGAGACCCAAATGAGCTTCGGTACCTTGATGACCCGTGTAGCATCCACCACTTTCGGGATGGTAATCTGCCGGCAGCGGTTAACTACCATCGGTTCCGGCACAATCTTTTCCGTGAACACGACCCGCTTCTTGCAGATCATGCGTGGCGGCTGCTGCACGGTGATGCATTTGGGGAAGGGCGGCGGGATGCGCGGAGCACATTGCGGCAGTGCCTCCAACTGGGCGGCATTGTAGCATTTGGGCGAACACTCGAAGGGGCCGCAGCACGGATCGCAGGGGCTGCAGGGACCGCACGGAGAACACATTTTTTTTTTGACTCGAGCTCACCAAAATTTATATTTTAAGAAAAAAAAACTAATTTCTTTTTTACAAAATTTTTGCGGAACAATTTGGAAGTTATTCGGAGCGAAAGTAGAATCTGAACTGAATTGAATGAGTCCCAACGGCACGACGACATCACAGTAAAAAGGCCCAGGCCCCCTTTGATCGATTTTTGGCAAATGGAGTTCTTCGATCGGTTTTATGAACCTCATTTGAATATTAAGGGAATATATTTACGAAAGCCTATACGATTTCATAGACGAGATATATTGTTTTAAAATAGTTTAAGTGTGGCAGCTGAAAGTTTAATCCTTTAACCGATGCATTGGAAAAATGCCGAGCGTTTCTTGAATGGAAGGCATTTTACGAACCGAATTCCATCTCCACATGACGTATGCGCGGCGTAGTATCTGCATATATTTCAACAATATGGCATCTGCCGTTGAGTGGGTTTAAGCCTTTAATATGCTAGCGCCTTTATGTAGGCAGAGTGTGTTTTTCGCCCGGCCGAAAGCCAACTTGGAAAAACTACAGCGAATTACAGAAAAACGTTGGAAAACACTCTGGCAAGAGCGGCCTATTGAATATACATATATGGGCCTTGTTGTTTTTTTTTCCAGCACAGTGCCAGGGCCTGGACATGTCAGCGCCGAAAAAAGCGGCGGATTTTGAAAGCCTTAGTGCGTGGGGAGGGCGGTGCAATCAGCGCTTTGTGCATGCCACAACCATGCCGACATTGAACAATTGCGCATTCACAAAAAAAGCTACAACAAAGAGCCTGGACACAGCGGAGCATCCATGTTGACAAAGGCTTTGGCAGGCGTTTCAGGTAAATTCTAAAATATTTGCTGCATTTTAAGCGTAAAAGAGCATTGAAAAGAAAGACTGATGAAATATTTTTAAAAAATATAAGGGAAGTTTACTATAAATGTTTTTATTAAACGAATAGAATATGGGTGTATTGTGATTCTATTTATGAGGAAGAACAACTTTTTGCACATTTTACAATACTTTTAATTAATGAAGATTAAGCTTAAATTGATTTGAAACTTTAAATAAATATCTGGAAAGTAAAGACATTCTTAAATAAAATATTTTAAAATCTTCTACACTCGCTTCCCACTTTCCAAACTCATTCCTCTAAAATATCGCAATAATAAATGTCTTAATTCAGTCACTTCGGGAATAAACGGTGACTTAATCGATTTGGTTTCAGGCTGCTTTCTAAGAATCTGCCCAAGTACCTTGGCCTGTAATAACAACTCCCTGGCTTATGCCCACAATTATGCAAGAAAAACATAAACTCATCATCTGGCCCTGGGCCCTGGGCGCTTATCGAGCAACGGTCTGGCCACAACTAACTCAGACCAAGTTTCAGCCGCAGACAAAGCGACTGCTAATCCCGTTGATTTTTGTGGGCCCAAAGAGCCTGTCTAATCACAGCCGCTCCACTTGGCATCACAGTGCCACTGCCAACGAAATTGTCAGCTAATAATGCAAACAATAACAGGCAACAGTCCGAAGAAATGGCGCAAATTTCGCATAATTATGGATGGGGAAGCGACCGCTCCGCACTTCTCGTAGAAATTCCCGGCTAAGGCGGCGCAATTAGCGGGCTTAGTTTGGGCCTAGAGGGAGTGTTTGTTGGATGAGTTTCGGGTGCGGGTTCCAGTTCGAGAGCAGGAGCGACCGGAATAAACACAGCCTGGCCATAAATTGTCCAGGACAATGCCTGCCGGAGTGCAGATAGAGCGGCAAGTGTCAGTTGTCCGATGTTTATACTTTAGCTCCACTAGGAAAAAATTCGTAAACAAATGGAAATTTATTACATTTGAGTCATTTTTGTGTGTTAAGAATATATATAATTTTTGTTATTAAATAAAATATTTACTTATAATAACATATAGGTATTACAAAATATTTTTTAAATATTTTTAAAATATTTTTCTTAGTGTCCTTCCCATGTCAGAGGGTTTCGAGATCTAGACCCCCAATTTTCAGCTGATTTCCGAGGAACCTGTGCCGCCTGCTCATGTTTTCCTTCCGCCCGATGTAGCCTGGCAGGCGTACGTACTTCTTTAATGAATTTAATCGCGCGTAATAAACCGTTGCAGACGCAGAGACTTCTGGTTCTTGAGCTGCTGGTGGGGGTGGTGATGGTGATGGTCGCTTATGCTGTTTGCCTTCATTCTTTGCGGTCGTGTGACGTTGATAAGTATTCTGATTTATTGACAAACAAACTGTGAGCGGGCGGCGGCTGTATTGTGGCTGCATTTATTTAAATTTATATATTTATTTATGGGCTTTGCACAGACAAATGCACACACACACACCAAACACACGCGCACAGCAGGACAGATGGATCGGTGTACAAACGGAGTCATGCTTTAAGCGCACTTTTCGGCGGCAGGTTTTTTTGTATGCATTTGCTTCGCTGCATTTCCGTTTGATTTCAATAATTTCAACTTCCGGCACAAACCGGAAATGACAAATAAAATGCACCGCCATTCAAATGCACTGAAAAATAAAGTTTGTTGAGTTTCAACGCAAGTTCAATGAGAGTAAATTGCCAACTTTTTTTATCCCACATTCCCAGGATACATAGTTTGCAGTGTCTTTTTTTGTTGTGCTCTGTGAGTGAATGAAATATTTTATTCTCTTGAACTGTTGGATAAATATTCCGAATTTCTGATTTAACTTTTTTTAATGAGTGATTGAAATACACTATAGCGTATCAAAAGGGTATCATGGCTTTGTGAGGTAGATTCGCTCATAAAATATGTGCTTAAATATTAATATAATATATGTACAGGATGTAATTGAATATGTTTTAGCTTGACAAATATTTCAAAAATACTTATTTTGCCAAGTTCTAAGATTTTTTTACTAGCAAGTTCTCCTGTTTTTGCTGGCAACTGAAATGGCTTGTAGTTGATATCCTTTTTGACATTTTGCACCCATGCTTGTTTGCTTTAATTGCATCATCTCGGCGGCAACTGTACGGAAAAACGCATAAATAACGTGATTTTCGGAAAGGCTTCTTTTTCCCCAAATCCGTGCATAAACGTTGTTCTTTTTTTCTTTTTGCCAGGCAGTAAATTTGCAGGCACATGCATATGTGGAATGACCATGAATTACATAAAAAGCCGCAAATACCGAAGTCAAAATGCGTGGCCTCAACGCTTGTGTTGTTGTGTGCGAAAGAGGAAAACCATTTCCACTGAGGCTGCTCCCTTGCAACATGCAAACGATTCAAAAAAAAAAATCCAAATATATATTGCAATCCTTTAGGCACGCGGAACATAATGAAACGAAAATGCTACTGTGGCAACAGCCAACAGCAGCTGCAAGGACATGCAGGACCAAGGACCAAGAACCGGCCGAAGCCGTCCGCTTGCCATTTTGCCAAATAAAGGAAAATAAATAAAAATGTGAAAATATTTCTTTGGCCAACATTTTTACAGCCGCCCGTTGCCCGCCGCCTTTCCATTCTTTCGCTGACCCTGCTTGCCAACCAATTCACAGCAATTTTTGTACAAAAAATGTTTTTATTTATTCCTCTGGGGCGGCCTCTTGCTCCTGCCTTGATTCGGGTTTTGGGCAGGAAAGTTTATCGCGAATATATATAATATATAAAATATATCGAAGAAGAAATATATCGCAGCAAGTCGTGTATAGGGGATATGATATTTTATGAAATAATAGTAGAGTTTCTAATTTAATATGTAATATGTAAGTATAAAAATAAGGCATTTTACCAATAATCGTAACTGTGAAGATTATCTGGTTTCGGCATTTCTGCCATCTCTAGATGTGGTGGTATCCCCCATGCTCCCAAATCCCGGCAACTGGGCCTGGCCTGTGGCCGCCGGTTGATTTATATTGATGAATGTCCGTTTGTTCGTTAGTTCCGTCTTCGCAGGCTGCCAAAGAGATTTACTTGCAAGGGGCGGGGAGGCGTGGCAGTTATTTAACTCTTTGCCTTTTGTTGTGCTGCACTCGCACGAGCACAAATATATATTCTTGTACACTCAGTCGCTCACACACACACACACACTCACACGTGCTGGGTGCACTTGCTTATGCTCAGTGCCAGAAATTATTGCACACTTTACGGAAATTAACCGCATTTCCATTTCTTGCACGCACACAGGATGGCCGCGTCATCTCCTCTCGGCCCCCCTTTTCTTTCCCTGTGAACTCCACCCGGAGGTTCCTCAGCTCCTGTTCGGTCCTGTACACATATTTACAATTTTAATGACTTTATTTTTGTGCTGGCATAAAATATTTTCATACACTTGCACGAAGACTGAGTGTAGTAGATTTTGAAAGGGTTTTGTTTTATTTACTTAACTTGTTTGTTTTAAAGAGATGATTAGTTCTAGAAGGGTTTTATTTATTTACCTTCTAAAATAAATATTAATGATGAAACAGAGTATTTTATTTTATATTACTTTATTACAATTAATAATTTTTATTATTTTTCAAACAATGAAATATTTAAAAGGTAAAGAAATAAAAATCAGTTTGTTATCATTTAAGCTAAGCTCAATAAACCTTTGTATCTTCGTCTAAAAACTATATTATTTTACTTAATTATTATATATTTACTTAGAGAGTATTTAAAATTTGGCTTCTCCAATGGAACTGTGTGTCCTTTGTTACATTTTCTGAATGTCGTTGCTGCTGATTCGTTCAGGTTACTTTTGAGTGAGTTACCGAAGGAGAGGAGGGAATTAAGTGAGGGAATCAACCGTCGCACAATCATATTTCTTTGTGACATTTTCCTTGTGCATTATTAATCAACCGGGAGTATTTTAATTTATGTTGACATGCACTTATTTATAAAACGCAACGAAAAGAGAGAAAAATGCATTTTAAAAGGAAACCACATACGAAACCAGACGGTCGCTGATTTCTGAGTTATTTTTCGGCAGCAACGTCATTAGGGCGTGAGTAAAATTTTATATTTTTATAGCTATTTAAGGTTTACTGATTTTATAAGCAATCCTTGACCTAGGATAACACAATTTTCAAAGCTATCTGAACAGAAACTAAATCCCTAGGTTGTTTTTTATAACTTTTTAGTTTCCCATTGCTTTGGCAGCATCAAAGGACTCTAGTAATAAAAAATATAAATTTCCATGCAAATCAAGACTGCTGCGGAAAAATGCTCATGATTGCATTAGCCTTGTCTTTTACTAGTAAGCGTTAAAGGATGCCTCCTGCAGGTGTTTTAATTAATAGAATTCTCGAATCTTTCTACTTTTCCCCTGAACTGAATTTCATTAAAAGTCGTCACCGGAGCAACAGCACCTGCCATGCTGAAATTGATAATCTTTCTTCCTTTTCAATGTAAAGAGCGGAAAAAGTTTATTGCATTCAATCATTGGAAAGGCAAAGCCATTGAGTTGATTGACAACAGTGACCTGCCTCCCGTTGGGACCAATGTTCAAGGACTGATCAAAGGGCAATTGGCACGCCGGATGCGTAATCTATTTCAAACAGCGACCATGCAAATCGAAGGAGCTCTGTGGATGCAGCTCCATAGCCCCTCTCAACTGTCGGCTGTCGGATGCAAGTGAGCACAATACAACACAATTTGCTGGAGCTGCTCTGGCCCCCACGTTTTTTTTTCCGCCTTCCTTTCGTCCTTTTGTCCTGTCAGGCCGTCTGTCGAACAGCGAGATGCATAGAGAAATTGCATATAAAATGCAGACAAATAACTCGCTCCCCATGTTTAGCGTATGCCCTAACGCCTGACATTAACAATGCAACAGCAGCAGCAGCAGCAACATCGGCAGCAGTAGCAGCAGCAGCAGTAGCTACAGCATCAGCATCAGCAGCGGCAACCAGCTGGCAATAAAATGTAACAAACACATTGACTGCTGACAAATAGCATTGCCTGTCAATTCATCAAAAAGAAAAAGGCAACGGAGAGCCGCAGCGAACGCGCAAAACTATTGACATGCTCACGCATTGAACACTCGAAGAAAATGGGTATTAAAAAGGAGTATTAATGTATATATTTAGACTTAAGAAACCTAATTGAAATTGTAAAATACAGTTGCTATAATTACAATTTACCTAGCTTTTTAAATTTACAAGTTCAAAGTATTTAAAATCAAATTTAAGTAAATATTCTGTCAAGTGTCTGGAAACCGGATACGATCGAACGTATAGAAGGTGGCAGGGGCATATCCTTGCATTGCTGACTCGGCAGACTTGCTGCAAATTTGCTTAGCTGCCAAACCAAACGTCGATTGCTGCGAGCCTGCGTGTGAGCGTGTGTCTATATGGAAGAGAGACGGTTACAAATTGTTTTGAAATGAAATTCAAACTGCATTGGGAAACGAGAAACAGGGCATGTTGCTCTACGACCTCGAAACTTAAAGTTGCAACTGCTTTACTCGCTTAGGAATCTCCAAGTTTCATGGACATGGATCAAAGCGATTATAGGGTCAAGCATTCCAGGGAGCAACCCCATCCCATCCCTAGTATCTGACCATCACCTTTTGCCTCTGCACAGCCATACCTTTGTTTCATTCATAACAAATTGCCTCAATTATTTCCATTTTGCCCCCGTCTCAGCTCGCTGCAAGGGTATAAAAACTTTATTAAAAACTTTTGTGCCCAAGCCTTTTTATTATACCTTGACTTAGCCCTTAGCCGTCGGCCCCCCCTGGAATATATATACCTATATTTTCGTAGGGATATATATATTTATAAAATACACGCACATTTAGGCAGCGCCGCCCCGGCCGCCATACTGCACTCCAGGGGCGTTGAAGAAATCAAATTAAGAGCATTTTCTTTGGCGAAACTTTTTGCGCCTGTTTAGAGTTTTATAATACTTCAGAGCCGACCGACAAAGCACCACCTTTCTGCCTCCTTTTGCCATTACGGTTCGGGCCATATCGGCTGTTGGTCCTGGCCCCATGTGGTTACTTTAAAAATGCTAAATGGTCCCAAAGCAATTGCAGCCGCAACAACATAAATAGCAAAGACGGGAGTGGCTTTTGGCTTTAAACTTGGGCCAATGAATATATTTTCTCACTTGCTTCATAAAATCCAGACCAAAAAACGGTCTTTATTATGCTCCTTTTTTTTTTAAGCAGTAAAAGCGAAATTCATGGATTTTTTTTATTTAACTTTGAATTTGAAAAATGGTTAAGTATTTTAAATACAATACCTTGAGCAATCGTAGAAAAATACTTAGAGGAGATAACAGTTCAAAATTTTTAATTTTTTATATTTACATATTTACAGATTTAGTTTGGAAACGTTTTCATCTTAGGAATCTCTAGTTTTATTATATAGGCTTCAAAGACGTGTTCAGCTATCCAGTCAACATGGCTCATGATATCGGTAAACATACAGGTCCTGGTAGTGCCGTAGCTCTGAATGCCGTAAAGGGTGGTGCGTTGTGTATCCTTATAATTAATCATTCCGCTCAAAGGACTGCCGTGCTCAAGACAATTGGCACCGCTATTGAACTGTGCACAGATCTGAGAACTCTCGGGAGCGGAGTTGTATACATCAAGGCACTGATTCCCATTGAGGCGACTAATGGTATTTGTTCTTGGGCTTGGAAAGAATCGGAACTCGTTCAGGCCCCAATGTGTAATATAGAAATCCTTGAATTCGTCCACCTCGGCCTTTTTCTCACTATTCAGCAGAACGCAAATCGGCCGAATATGCGGCTTGTAGGTAACCTTACTCTGCAGCTTAAGGAGAGCCAAGTCGCTTAGGTACTCGCTTTCGTGGAACAAGTAATGAACGATGGCAGCCACGGCGTAGTACTCCTCATAGCGATGGGATCCGTCGGAATCACCCAAGCGAACAAGGCTATTCAAAGGAAACTTTTATATTAATTAGGTTCAAACTAAAAATCTTGAGTTATTTACGTTTGGGTGCTGTTTATTATACAACTGGCAGCTGTTATCACGTATTCTGCGAGAATAGTTCAGGTTTTTAAGACATCTCTCAATACCATTATGTATTCGTATATATGAGCTTACGTTGATCAATAAGAACACCTGAGCATGTTTGGTTGTTCGATCTAATTAGTGCCAACCAAGGAGAGGGACTTGGGCTCTCACCATCTATAGGAGCACTAGTAACTCCACAGTCAGAGTCCAGAAGCTGAGCTGATCCCTGATGGAATATCAGCAATGCGAATGTTATAATCCAAGCAGCGGTCGACATTATTTCCAGAAAACGTCTGCCAATTGACTGAACAATCAGCGATATGGGTCTAACATAGTATTCACATAGAAATCAAGACAATAGCTTATCAGTGAGCCAAGCTATAATTATACATCAATAAATATATGTACATATATGGTTCTGCAGCAGATTATTTAAATTTTAATTAAAATTGTTAAATTTCTTAAGAACCTTATCTGTTTTCATTTACTATTTAAACCTAAGACCTTGAAAGAGCTCCAAAATAAAATAAGAAGTCTTCATCTGCTGAGTTTTTGTAAGAAACTGATTTTATTCCATTCAAACCCTAGCTTATATAGCTAACATGAGAATGTACATTGTACATCTTAGTTCTAGACCCACGCATCGGACAGTTCCCGATCGTGAGAAATATTTTAAGTACGATAAGGGTGCACATGTCAACCCGATCGTAAATATCCTAAACAAACCCAGACCGCTCACAGGAGGTCATATTTCGGGTTACTTGTTACATAGGCTCAAGTGGCGGTTTCTTATAGCTATGCACACAAGTGTTAGACCGTGCACTGCGGCAGAGATTTATTTAATGCTTAACAGATGCGTTCTTATCTATATACATACATATATACGTGTTCATGTGTGAACAACCTATTAACTTTAAACATTAAACTACCAATTCCACTAAATTGAAGCAATAAGACGTAGTATTTTTAATATTTCTAGAAATTTTCTTAGAATCATTCAAAAATGATTAATATTAAATCTTTGCCTTTCTCTGATTAAGACATTTCTCCCAACTCACACACGTTGAATTTATTTATTTTTTCCCCAGTTAACCGGTCAATTTTACAAGGTCAATTCAGTGGCTTTTGTGTGCTTTTGGCTTCCATAGTGCTTGGGCTTATTGTTTTGCTGCTTGGCCATTTCCCGTGTCCGTATCCCTTTCAAGTTCAATAATGTCATAGAGCGTGTCGCAGGGCAGGCGTCCAAATTTATGGCCCAAACGGTTGACCTGAAGGCCGCGTGGCCGTAGCAGAAGCAGAAGCAGCAGCAGCAGGAGCAGAACGTGCTCCCGGCCAGGGAAATAATTTAGCCAAAAACATGTGAAGCTCGCCATATAAATTATGCACACTCGGCTCGACAGACGACAACACATGGGTTGCTTTAAGGTATTGTCTATGCGACCTGCTGCACCAGCGGCAGTGGCAGCAACAACAACTACCTAGTCCGGACATAACTCACCGCCCTGGCCTTTTATTTTATTGTATTTTATCTTTTGGATTACTTTCTGCCATGACCACAACAAATAAACTTGAGCATCTTTGGGAAAACCCACAGCGGCGCAGAGGTGGTGGTGGGGGGAAAAACTTGGACAGGAAAAGAAAAGATTTCCGTGGCATTGTTGCTGTTGCTTCTTGGCTTGAGTTTGCCCGGAGGTCTAGAGCTGGAGCTGGAGCTGGACAACGGCAACAATTGCGCATGTTAACATACTTGTAAGTAGTTTTTCCACTTTGCCATAGTATGGTAACAGTATTTTCCTTTTTCTATACCCTGTAATTGCAATAGAGAAAGGGTATATATTTTATTAGAGTTTTTAATTTGTTATCAGAAGTCACGATTCAATTAATAAATAGCGGTTAGATATAGGGAGATTTAAAATAAATATTAAAAGTACATTTTGGCAAACAACTTGATATATTTTTTATGTAACTAAATGGTAAAATATTGATATAACTTTGCCAAATTCAGATACCTACTTCAATAGACATTTCCCTTATTCTCATTTGATGTAAGCAATATATTGTCAAGGGGTATTCTATAGTCTTATCTCAAAGCTTTCTTATTTCCGAAATTTTTTTCTCTTTTTTTTCCATCCCCCACAACGGACACATTTGTTTTCCTGGGGGCAGTTGCCTTTGTTTTTGTAATTATCTGCACGTTATTTGTGGGTCAATAAAGTTTCGTTTCATAGTTTGAGCGGTTGTCTGGCTCTCAGCCCCGGACAGGATTTATGGCATATGCGTTTTGGGCTAATTTTCAGTGCCGCTGACCATGCCATTGGCCAGTAAAACATTAATGGCAAGGCACCAGGCTAAGGATGCGGATAAGGAGCATGAGCAGGAGCTCTGTTTGGCTCCTGGCTCGCTTCTTAAAATAGCATCTGGCGATTTAATGGAACCGCCCATCTTCCTGGAAGCATTTGCCCCGAGAACGTTGATTAATTTATCGATATGCCGTCGATTGCCGAGTGTATGTAATTGTAGCTGCCTGTCAGGGGATCGTATTGCCAAAGATTTATAAGCACCATTCGATGGCGTGAAGCGCTCCTCTTGTTTTTCCTGGCCTGCACTTGTGTAAAAATCATTTGTGATAAATTGCCGGCAATCGGTGCTCAATTATTTAATAAGCTCGTTTCCAACGGGCTGCCAACTAAAATGAGTTATCAAATTTCATTCCCACTAATTGCTCATTGCGTTCTCGTTTCTATTCGCGGAACGATAACTCGAATATCGTTAATGTTGTCACAGCGCTAATTTCGCATCAATCATCGATGCATTGTTAATTCTAATAATTGCAAATAAACAAATTGGCAAATGCCATGTTTTCGTTGAATGCGATGCTTTTGCATTGCCCGCGGCTTAATTGATTATTACAGATGATCGGATGTGCTTATAACACGACACTCACACAACTCGCAACGCGCTTTGAAACGAATTGAGGCTGCAAATCATGTTGTTTTTAATGCAAACACCATTTTGTCCGATTGTACGCCGATAATTAAAATGACATTTTTCGCTTTCGATTTGTCGATTTGCCGCAAAAGTGAATTTTTTACGGCATGCCTGTGTTTTTTGTTGTATTTCTGTTGATTTCCAAAACAGAACCCCCCCTCCTGGCCTACAAGCCAGCTTAGCAAAATAGTTGGTAAATTTATTTGCCAAATAAACTGAACACAAAAGCCAATGGCAACGATGAGAGGCACTTGCCAGAGCAGAATTAAGCTGACCAGGCCAAAAACGAAAATAAAAAAACGGAGAAAATAAAGAAAAACAAGGGGTAAACAACAAATTGAAAGGCATGAAATGGAAAAGGAGAAATAAACGAACAGAAAAAGTTGATCACAGTACGAAAAATAAAAAAAAATAGATAGAAAATACCAACCAGGCAGGTGTGCCAGCATGTGTGGCTGTGTGTGTGGTAACGTCAATTGTTTAAAAGTGAAAATTCGATTTTGTGGTAAGGCAAAAGGCAACGGGACACAAACAAATGGCGTGCCAAACCAAAAAGCAAAACTTTTCTTTTTCAAATTTTGCCCTGTTTTTTTTTTTTTTTTTTTTTTTTAATCATGTTGTGCAGCAAACAAATTTTTGTGTTTTTTTTTTTTGGTACCTCCCTTGTCGGTTTGTTTGAATTGTCCCTGGTTATTGTTGGCCGTTCCTCCTGACGCTTTGTGTCAGCCCAGTTGGATGCTGATGTGACCAACAAAACGGGTCGAAAAGGAAGGAAACAAAAACGAAAAAGAAATATAGGAAAAAAGCATCTCAGAGCGTATAAAACAAACGTGGACGACGGAGCATATAAAAAATGGGCAGTTGGAGAAGTAGTCAGAAGAGTGTCCAAGTCGTCCTGTGTGTCGTGAGCTGCATGAGAAAGCGGCAAAGGCAAAGGCAAAAGGAAAAGGAAAAGCGGTGACGGAGACACAACTCGGGGAGCTTTTCCACCACTAACAAGAGCCGTAACGATAACGAAAAACAAACTTTAAAAATTGGATTCTTCATTTGCATCGGCAAATCCAATCAAGCCAACGTAAAGACCCCGGCCAGACACATACACAACATAAAGCCGATGCACCACATCCAGGACCACTCCGCAGCCACCAGCTTCACCACATTGGCCACCTGCAATTTGGCGCTGTACACTGAGAATATTATTATTTTGTAAATGTTTCTAGTTGGTTTTTAATTATAACATTTTCTTTTTAACATTTAACTTTCTTTAGTTAGTAAATATATTTTTTATTTAAATAAAATGCAATATAATCATTAATCCCGTTTTTTAGAATTTATTTTCCAACTTAAAAGTGTTACTCACTAAATAAAACATGCACGTAGAATTTTAATAAGTGAAACAAAAAGCTTTTTGTAATTTTAAAATATCAATCACTCAGTAATATATTTTAAAATGTAAAAACAAGGCTTAAGTTTCTCTTAGTTTTAATTTATCATATTTTCCTCAGTGCATGCTCTGCCGTATGAGCATGCCCCACGTTACGTATACGCCACGTGGACGGGGGTAGAAGAACCGACACGAACAATAAATGAAAGGTGTGCGCCGCCTGTTTGTCCATATAGTTGACCATTGCTTATGGCCTGCAACCGACCACGCCCTCCCTCTCCCCATCGATAGCCGCCTTCCGTCCGGCTGAAAATTGGTAACGATTTGTATTGGACTATGGACGAGCATAAAAGAGGCTGAGTCCGAGTCTGTTTGGCAACGGTGAGTCTGTGTGTTTGTGAGTGCCGAATCTTGTTTAAAAGTTTTGTCCGTTTGCCGCTCTCTTTGCCGCGCTGAAAGGAGGGAAAATTTTCTTATTTGTATGCCCGGCTCACCTGCCGTTATCCATCTGTCTTGTATCTTCATCAAGTTGGCCTGTATTAAGTCGCTTGTTGGTTGCTCCTCCCTTCGGCTTCTACCCCTACCGCTACCCCACCTGTTTGGCAGCATGTCCTTGCAACGTTGTGGTTTTTTCGGTGAGCTCTTAAAAAAAACACGGTGGCATGCTTTTCAGAGCGGGGGTTATTGATTGCCAGGCATACGTTTGCCATTTTATTACAAGCCGGAAAATAGAGCTGCAAAAATACAACAAAAAGAAAAAAAAACCAAAAAAAAAGGAATACATCGAAGAGCCTCACTTTTGGTCTCTACTGCATTTCTTTTTCTTTTTTTTCTTTTTTTGGTATCCACCACTCGCCTGTTTTCGGGCCTCGTTAATTGCCTCAAAGCGAAACATTTGCGTCAGTCACAACCGCATACGACGTTGTGACAATGACAACGGCAACCGCCGCTTAAATTGCCCAAAACCGCGACAAGTGGCCGTGTCCAGTTTTCCTTTCCAGCGGCACCCCTATTCTGCCAGCCATCGCTTTTTCTCCCACCCTTTCCGGATTTTCTTCACCACGGCCACGGCGATGCGGCCCAATGGAGCGTATAAGAAAACCATTCATTAGCGCTTATCAAACGGCACAGACAGATCTGTCCCACCACTCAATAGCTGTTTGATTTTCG